GCAGGAATGAGGCAGAGGACTTCAAAACTCTTGTTCTGACACTTTTACATGTTCAGGCTGCTCTTCTGCATCCCCAGGCGCTTGCACCTGCACACACACCACCTTCTCACGCTCCCTGCTGTGCACCCTGGAAGCAGGAGAGTGTCTTGCCTGCTTTGTAAAGGGCTGTAGCAAATCCTCCAGGCTGATGCCATTGCTGTGAGCATCCTACAATACAAGATGCTTTCTGTTTCCTAGTTCTTACCATTAAGTCTCTGTGAGCTGCCTGACGGGGACAGCGAGTGCTCCGGGGTGCCCTTTCCTCCTCAGGGCTCTCTGCTGCAATGCTCAGATGTGGACTGGAAGGAGCCTGGGCTTTTTTATTGCTCCCTCACCTCCCCTGGCTGTTGGGCATGGTTGTGCGATGCTGCTCTTTATCACATTCCCCACCAAGTGCTGTGCCATGTCACCAGCGCTGCTCTCCCAGTGCTTTCTGCTGCTGGAAGCACCCACCTCCTGCTCACTTAGCTGTTCCACAGTCCAGCTCCTCACCTGGGACATGCAGAAGACAGGGAGCCCGGGCAAGCTGGGTAAGGGGAAACATCCTTGCATTGAGCCCAGCACCCCCAAAGCAGGAAGAGCCACGCAAGATCCCTGATGCACATCGCTGGGCTAAGCTGAGGCTCCTTGCCAACAACTAGACATGAGTTGCTTTTGGCTCACATGCATTTCCACTGTCGGATAAGAGCACTGTGGCACATTAACTCCCACCAGAAGAACCTGTTTGGAGCCGACCACAGGACACCCCGCCCAGATATCTGAGATTTCTTCACCAGCCACAGGAAGTGAGGAAAGGCCCATTTGTGGGATGATGCAAGGAGGACTGCACCGAGCAGTGATAACATGCTCTAGGAGAAATTTGGCTCCATCCTCCCTGCCTTTCCCTCCTCTCTTTCATCTCTTAAGCATTGGATTTGCTGGACAACTGTGCCTTTAGTGTGAAACAGCTGTCCAGAAATAAAGTGCTGGAAGGAAAGAAAGCTTTTGGCTGGAGAGGATTTGATGCACTAAGACCCAGAGACTGAAGCACTGAAATATCTTATTCCTCATGTAAGCCAGGCACCTCTGAGGTACTGGTCCTAAATTCATGAACCGAAGTCATTAGTGGGGAATCTGTCGTGAGTTTTGAACCTCTCAGCCCCATCTCAACCAGAAGGGCATGGCTGGGTTTTACTGCTTTATAGAGATCAGGGACTGGAAGAATAGTTTTTGCTGTAGGTGCAGGATGCACCCGCTCTAGCAGAGCTGTGGGAAACAAGACATAAAAAATCAAGATTCAGACAAATAGGTGCTCCACTGCAAAGGGGGAAAGCTGCTGCACCTGCAGATTACCTGCAAAGAGAGCCGAAAACAGCCTGTTCAATGCAAACAACGAGCTGGAGGGTGCTGAGTTCACCATGTTCCCCAGCCCTTGTGGCTTCGATGCTCCGAGCTGCACTGAGAGAGGGAAGTGTTTGGTGTGCCTGAGCTCATTCAGAGAGTTTTCATTTGACTAGCGCTTAGGTGGAATAACTGAGTCACAAGGACAGAAACCGCAGCAGGGCTCCCACAGTGCTCCTTGGGAGGAGAGAGCAAAGGCTGGTTTGGTATGGTGATCCATGCCAGCAAAATGCATCTGGGAGAACAGTAGAAATCGAGAAAGCAGCCGAGCAAGGAGAGTTCCAAAACCAAAGTGTGTGTGCCTGTGCGTGTGCGTGTAAGAGGGTGAGAGGGAGATTAGGTACCTCAAGTGAAAAAGGAAGTGAAATTGCATTAGGTGGGGAACTGGTGGACAGTGACTGAGGCCGGATTTTGGTCTTGACTTTCACTCGCTTGGACTCCTCCAGCCCCCGGAGCACTTTGGGGACGGCCAAGGTCCCAGCAGGGGCTGAGCTGGAGCCAGGCCATGGCTGGCCCTCACTGGAGGGGGACTCCAGCCTCACAGCCTGCCTCCTGATGGGGCCGGCTAGCGGGTGTCAGGAAGGAGGATGAGAGAGAAAGCAAGCGTACAGTGATGCACTACCTGTGGAGCTTATAGCATTTTTGAAATAGAAGCAAAGAGCCCAACTAGCTTTGGATGACGAATCAAATCCTGGAGGAGGGGAGAGCAGAGGTCAGGGTGGAAAGACGGTAGCTGGGCCAGGGGCAGCCAGCAGGGTTGATGAAATGACCCACTCGCTGAATCCTTTATAGCAGAAGGTGGCATGGTTTGATGTAGCTTGGCAGGGGACAGCGTAACAGGTAGACAAAATGCGTAGCTTGAAACAGCGGGGCCCTAAATGTGCAGGACAAGCTGCCCAAAATGCTGTGGCTGCTCCTGCGCTGCCCTGGAATGAGCCACCCTCTGTTGCTCTCAGACGAGCTCGATCGCCCAGTGAGGATACGTAGTACTCCTCTAAGCCAGAGTATCCCATGGCCTTTCTCACCCTCCCCTTCCAGCTTCAGTTCATGGCAGTGACTGGAAGGGACTTTGCTAGAAAGAGCTTGAAGGCAGTAGCCTTGCAAGGATGGGACTCCAGCAATAACGGAGAATTAGGATTCTGTTGAACGTGGTAGGTCTCCTGTGCTGCTTCCTTCACTGAGAGCAGGCCAACAACAGAGTGGCTGGGTCCCTTTTTTTTCCTATGGGATGCAGGAAAAGGGACATGAGATTTGTTTAGTAAAGATGAAGAAGAGCCACCTGCAGCTCTGAAATGAATTGTTTATCCACTCCAGACCTCAGGCATCAGCTGCAGGCTTTGACCTATGGGTATCAGTGGTAGGAAACCTTTTCTGTCCACTATTAGGAACACCTAGGACCCTTAAAAGGTGTATTTAGTACCCTTCCAGCGTGTGGGAACTGGACATCCATGGTGGGACCCGCTTTCCCCATGCCCCAGGCAGTTACTTGCAGCAGAGCCAGTTCATGATCCCCTGAGGTGCAGGACATGGTGCCAGGGGCCTGAAAGACCTGGTCTAGGTTGGAGATATAGAGGGTCTACAGAGCAAGCAGCTCAGCTCTTTTGGGTCGGTCCTGGAGCAAGCCAGGGTCTCTGAGTCTGTACTCAATGCAGTGAGCAAAGGCAGTGCTGAAGGCTGATTTCTATCCCATTCCCTGAACAAACAAGACATTGTCCATCATTGACCATGGATTACAAACAACAGATATTTCACCAAAGGGATTGACAAATATCCTGATCCCAGAGTCTAGGGTAGATTTCAGCACAAGTAAAGTCTACCCGGTCAGCCCCTGCAAACAGCTCACTAGGAGAGCGGTGCCATGACACGAGCAGCCAGCCTGGCCCAGGTGGGCCCAGCTGTGCTGAGATCACAACCAGGATGTGTCTCAAGAGCAGTGGGAATCTCTAAAAGAGGAAACCTAAGAGCCTCTGCAGTTTTTTTTCCACAGGTCATTTTCTGCATTTTATACCCAGGCTGGATCCGTGGCCCTGGGACAGGGGCTTCTAGAAGACTTGGGCAAGGGAAAGTCACTTACAGGCACTGGAAAAAGCTGACGGGGCTTTCACAGGCAGGGGCGCAGGCCAAGAGGATATGGACAGTCTGGGGCTGGGTGCAGGCTATGAGGATGACAAACGGGCGGGCTGGAGAAGAGTGAGGGCTGAGGGGGTGACATCGGCAGGTGGGAGGGAGGTGCGGGCTTAACCCAGGGGGCTGCATAGCTGGGGATGGCCAGAGGCTGCAGGGATTTTAGACACGCATTTTGGGGGGTGGGGGTAGCTTGAGAGCGCATCGCATGGGCAGCCAGGGGTAGGGCTTCAGCGCTCGCTCTCCTCCTCCTGATGAAGATCCGCCCCGGGGAAAGCGCAGAGATCACAAACCCCAAGGGAGAAGACGCGGCTTGACAGACTGTATCTCCCTCTGCCACAGGCCCCAGGGCTTTGCGATTTCACACTTGGGCGGCCCCTCTCTACAGTGCCATGCAGGAAGACAGTTCTCGAGCTCACTCGATCATGTCGTCGGGAAAAGCAGACGCCAGCACCTCCTGTCTCCCTTCCCAGTGCTTCGACCCCCTGATCAGGTCATGTGTGGAATGCTCCAAGTTGTACAAGGACAATACAAGTAAGAGGATGAAAGCAGCTGGGTCCCAAGTGCACCAGGGCTGGGTGGTGGGCAAAGGGGGCTGGAGTGCACCCGTGGGTTGCAGGGGAGGTTGGATCGGCAGGTAGAGGGGAGAGGACCTTCTCCTGCAGAGGAGAAGGAGATGGTAAGGAAGGAAGAAGAGCCTCCTTCCGCCTGGAGCAAGAGGAGAAGGGGATGGTGGGGGAGAGGAGAGCCAGCCCCAGCTAGGGTAGAGGAGTGCGGGGAGAGGAGGGCCGATCGAACCTGGAGAGGGGGTCCCAGCATGCCCCACTGGCAGGGAAGAGTGTGGGAACAGTGGGAGGCCCCATCTCCCACCAGTCAGGAAAGATGGAGGAGGAGGTAAGGGTCTTGCAAGATGGGAAGGCTGTCCATTACGGGTGGCGGGCGGGCAGAGGTGAAGAGTCACGCTTTATGAAAACACTATGATTAAATCCCTGAGGCCGGCCTGTCCACAGACCGGTGGGTAACACTGCTGCCCTCCTTCCCTCACAGCAGCTGTCCCCCTCACAGAATCACAGAATCACAGAATGGTTGAGGTTGGAAGGGACCTCTGGAGAACATCCAGTCCAACCCCCCTGCTCAAGCAGGGTCACATTGCCCAGGACCCTGTCCTGACACTGCCGGTGTTTCCCTCCACGGCAGAGCCCGCCCATGCGGCGCCCACCTCAGCCCTGATACCTTCGCCCCCTTCGGCAGACCTGCCAGGCACACTCCTGATCTTTGTGGTCCCTGTGGTTGTGGGGCTCATCCTGGCTCTGGCTGCCATTTGGGGCTTCCTGGCCTGGAAAGTGGGGAGGCAGAGGAAGAAGAGGAAGAAGCCGGATGAGGAGTCCAAAGGTAGGAGATCTCTTGCGCTCTCTGTCACAGCACCCTGAGTCTCCCAGGGCAGAAGGGACTGTTCAGCCCGGGCATACTCAGCTCCTCCAAGGCACGTGCTGGAGACCTGCCTGTGCTGGTTCCTCTGCCTGGAGGCAGCATGTTGTCCCCCTAGACATTCAGTCTGCCCTCACCACAGACCCCCGGGGCTCAACTCGACTCCCCCACACTGGGGTCTGGTGCCATTGGAGATGTCCCAGGGTGTCCTGCCTGGCCTCCAGCTGCGGTTGTCTCACTCGTTGGTTCTGGGCCAGCTCACCTAGCAGATTTGTAGATGCCCAAAGGTGTTTCAGACGACACTAGACAAACCTGTTTGGGCAACTCAGTGGAGCCCTAAGTGACAGTCTCCCACGTCCCTTGATAATCCCTTCTAACAGCTAATTCCCATCACCTCTTTCCAGCGTAAGCTCTGCTAAATTCTTCCTCCATCTTCTGGATCTCGTTTTGCCTTTGCTTGCTTTAAGCACCCACTGGCATTGGATCTCCCCTCCATGCGGAGATACTTAAAGAGCGTGAGGAAGCAGCCTTTAAGCTTCCCTTCCCTAAACCAAGTCAGGCACCTTAAGCCTGCCTGTAGTGATGAGGTTCCTAGTGCTCTGGGCCAGAGGAAGCAGAGTTAAATACCATGCAGCTTTTGCTCACCACCCTACCACTTCAGGGCAGCATTTTCAAATTTCCATGAAAACCAAGAAGGGAGCAAAAGTCAGAGCGTGGATATTTCCAAAGCAGCCTCAACCTGGCTTCAGGAGTGTGCATGAAATTTTAAGAATGAAAATATATATGCCACTCATTTTCTATCTTTTCATGTGGATACTTTAGAGAGTGAATCTCTCCCCTGGTAGGTGGAGGGCAATGCACAAAACACAGCCATGCGCAGGTCGAAAAGTTTGGTGTTTCAGGACAGCTGGGAACAGCTGGGAATGGCTCCAGAGAGCATCCCCTAAGAGCCTGCATGACTCAGGAAGGAAGGGGAGCCTCTCTGTAGGAAAGACCAAAAGACCCAAAGACCTCAACAGTGTCTGGGTCAGACCCCATCAGTGAGGGCCTACAGTGTCTAGCACCCCACAGGGTTGTCCCCAAAGGCCTCAGCGACAGACCCCGCTCAATATGCTGCTGGTGCTGAAGCTGCAAGGAGGGATGTAACTGTGGTGGCACCTCCATATTCAGCCTCTTGCACGTCCTCCTGCACCCGCGTGGTGCCAGCTAGCTCCGAGCGCCCCACCTCCCGCCTTCCGCACGTGGCAGAGGGGTCACGCCAGGCTCGGCGTGGCCCAAAAATGCCCTCAGCATCAGACTCTGTGCAAAACGCAGCTGGAGGCCAGTCTCTTTCTAACAGTATAGCAAGGACGGCCCTGCCCATCCTTTTTCTGGACATACTGTCTTCTCTTAAAAAAACTAGATATTGCACACATATATATTTATTTCCCCTTGCCCTCGTTCTAGCCTCCTCTCCACCCAGCTGAGCACGGGCTGGGAGCAGTGGCCAAAAAGCCACAGCCCAGGGGTGAGGGGATGGGCCCCGGCCTTTCTGAGGAGGCATTTCAGGTGGCGAGCGGCCACCAAGCAGGAGCTTGGCCTCCTGCGCGGCCACCTG